TAATTCATTATTCACTTAAAATAGACTATTATGTAAGGCTTAGGGCAACCACAAAGCAAAAACTTATAGTAGTTAAACAAAATATATAACAAAAGGATTCAAAGCATACCACTACAGAAAATTATCAAACTACAAAGGTAAGACAGGAAAACAGGCATACAGAGAAAAAGGATCAAAAAAACAAATTCCTAAGTGTCAAGTCTTCCCTGTTAGTAATTGCCTTGAATGAAAATGGATTAAATTATCCAATCAAAAGACAGAGGGACAGAGTGGATTAAAAAAAAAATTCAACTATATCCTGTTTACAAGAGACATACTTCAGCTTTAAGGACACAAGTGGACTACAAGTGAAAGGATTAAAAAACATATTCCATGCAAATAGAAACTAAAGGAGAGCAGGGATACCAACACTTATATCAGCAAAATAGAATTTAAGTAAAAAAGTGTAAAAAGAGGCAAAAAAATTAATTATATAATGATAAAAAAGCCACTATTAAGACAATATAACAGTTGTAAATATATATGCACCCAACATCTGAGCATCTAAATGTATAAAACAATTATTAAATGATCTAAATAAAGAGATGAACTGCAAAACAATAATAGTAGAGGATTTCAACACCTCGTTTTCAACAATGGATAGATGGCCTAGATAGAAAATCAATAAAGAAACATTGGACTTGAACTACACTTTAGACCAAATGCACCTTAAAGACATATAGAAACATTACATCCAATAACAATAGAATACACATTCTAATCAAACATTCATGGAACAGTCTCCAGAATAAATCATATGTTAGGCCACAAAACAAATTTTAACAAATTTAAGATGACTGAAACAATGGCATGAGAGTAGAAGTTAATAACATGAGAAATCATAGAAATTTTTTAAAAATATGTGGATATTAAACAACGTGCTCCTGAACCAAAGCCAGACAAGGACACTACAAGAAAAGAAAATTACAGGCCAATATCTCTGATAAACGTAGATGCAAAAATCCTCAACAATACACTAGCAAACAGAATTCAACAATACTTTAAAGGAATCATTCACCATGATCAAGTGAAGTTTATCCCAGGGATTCAAGGATGGCTCAATATATGAAAATCAATAAATGTGATATACCACATTAACAAAATGAAAGACAAATCCATATGATCATATAAATAGATGCAGAAAAAGCCCTTGACAAAATTCAACATCATTTCATGAGACAAAATATCAAGAGATTAGGTATAGAAGGAATGTACTTCCACACATTAAAGTCCATATAAGACAAACTAACATAAAACTCAACAGTGTATGATGAAAGTTGAAAGTGTTTCCTTTAGGATCAGTAATAAAGCAAGGATGCCCACTCTCACCACCTCCTTTCAACATAATACTGGGAGTCCTAGCCGGAGCAATTCGGCAAGAAAAAATAAGAAGCATTAAAATTAGAAAGAAATAAGTCAAACTATCTCTGTTTGCAGATAATTTAATCCTACTTATAGAAAACCCTAAAAGCTCAACCAAATAAACTCTTAGAAATGATAAACAAATTCAGTAACATTGCAGGATACAAATCAGCACACAAGAATGAGTAGTTTCCATACACTATCCAGGAAAAAAAGTAGAACACAATATCATTTACAAAAGCAACCAAAAAAAGAAAAATACTTCGGTGTAAATTTAACCAAGAAGTAAAATAAATGTATACTGAAAAGTACAAAACACTGATGAAAGAAATTGATGAAAACACAAATAAATGGAAAGATATCCCATGTTCATGGATTAGAAGAATCAATATTGTTAAAATGTCCATACTATCGAAATTGATCTACAAATTCAATGCAATCTCTATTAATATTCCAATGTAATTTTTCACAGAAATAGTAAAATATTCTAAAATTCATATGGAAAGATAAAAGAACTCAAATAAACAAAGTAATTTGGGGCAGAAAGAATAAAACTGGAGGCATCACATTCCCTGATTTCAAAACATATAAAGCTATTGTAATCAAAATATCATGGTGCTGGCATAAAAATAAACATATGGACAAATGGAAAAAGATAGTAAATCCAGAAATACACCCATCAATTTGGGGCAGAAAGAATAAAACTGGAGGCATCACATTCCCTGATTTCAAAACATATAAAGCTATTGTAATCAAAATATCATGGTACTGGCATAAAAATAAACATATGGACAAATGGAAAAAGATAGTAAATCCAGAAATACACCCATGCGTTTATAGCCAATTGATTTTGACAAAGGAGCCAAGAACATACAATGGGGAAAGGACAGTCTCTTTTATAAATTCTATTAGGAATACTGGATATCCATGTGCAGAAGAATAAAATTAAATTCTTATCTCAGAACATATACAAAAATCAACCTAAAATGGATTAAAGACTTAAATTTAAGACCTGAAACTGTAAAACTACTACAAGAAAACATAGGTTAAAGTTCTACAACATTGCAATATTTTTTTAAAATATGAAAACAGGCAATGAAAGCAAAATTAGACAAATAGAATTCCATTAAACTAAAATGCTTATGCACAGCAAAGGAAAAAAGTAATGCAGTGAAGAGATAACCTACAAAATGAAAGAAAATATTTGCAAACCATACAGTTGATAAAAAATTAATACCCAAAATATATAAGGAACTCAAACAAATAAATAGCAAGAAAACAAATGGCCTGATTTAAAAATGGGCAAAGTACCTGAACAGACATTTCTCAGAAGAGGACATACAAATCAATAGGTTTATGAAAAAATATTCAACATCACTAATCATCAGGAAAATGCAAATGAAAACTGTAATGAGATATCACAGAAACATAATATAATATTAGTTATCTAATAAATTCTATGATACGTTCAATTTTTATATTTTTGGCTGAATACTCTTTTGGTTATTTCCTCAAATAACATCAATTTGCTATATTTCCAATATAGATAAAATTTTTAAAAATTCAGTCTTTCTTCTAGCATGTTTGGTTCAAATTTGCAACTTGTTATATAAATATTGCAAGTCATTTCAGGTTCACCACTTATAACTTGTAATATCTATAAATTTTTAGGATTGTTCTCAAATTTTGGAAAAATTCTGTCAAATTTCCCTGATAAAATGGACTCTGAGATTTCAGGGCATTAAAAGATTTCTTAGGATAGAATTAATATCAAATACTCTTTCAGTCGCAGTTTAGTAAACTAGTTTGTTCTCAATGTCTCCATTTTGAAGACGCATTATAAGTTTTACGGTATCTTCATTGATGTCAATGTATCATGCATGACGTGAAAAAACTTTCATTCACACTAGGCGTCAGTGAGCATTGAATCATCTTATTTTGAAGACGCATTATAAGTTTTACGGTATCTTCATTGATGTCAATATATCATGCATGACGTGAAAAAACTTTCATTCACACTAGGCGTCAGTGAGCATTGAATCATCTAAAACTTTTATATATCTCATGATAGGCTCCACATTTTTAAATGCTATTTCTCTTTCAAAACCTATAGAATTCTGGTGCCAGGCAACATGCAACATATTCATACGTGCTAGGTCTACAGACCCAACCTCTTTGCAACTGAGGGCAACTGATGTGGCACGGTGGTGGTAAGAATGTTCCTAGAAGCCATTCTTACACATGGATGGCATCAGTTACCAAATTATGTACAACTGTGACTACAGATTATACCCCACTAATCTCAAACTAAAAGCATTCTGTGTGTAACTTTTTAGTTGAATCCTCTAAATACCTGATTCTCTAAAGTCAACTGATTAGTAAAAGTATAATGAATGGAAAATCCGAGTAGAATAAAACAATAGCTTATTCTCTTTCAATGAAGATGTTTTTTCAGTTTCTACAGAAATGTATGTGACCATGCAGAAACATCACTAGGGGCCCCCTCCGGTCCTTGAGGAGGTCTGTTCAAATGAGGAGGTCTGGAGCTTAAACTTCATTAGATTCTCAGGAAATCAAGCTCTGACTATAATTATCAGTTTCCCCTCCTTTTCTTCAGGTTGAGATTTTGTATAATTGTTGTATTATGAATTCGTTCAGTAATTTGCTTAATTTGTATCCATTTGTCTGAGTCCTTTTTCCTCTATCCTTTCCAAAACAACTGCCAAAACAATGCTACTTAAATACTACCTCACCTACATTCCTGTTCCTTAATTAGATATATCGAATATGTTTTATTGCCTATAAAATAATTAAAAATTTTTTGATCTGGAATTCAAACCTCTTCTTATTCACAGCTCCTCTTTCTTTTTCCCCTAGTGCCTTGTGCAAAATCACTGCTTCTGTGCTGGTCTTCTTATTACTTCTAAAATAGTCTCTACACTTTCCTATACTTCGTAATCTTGGCTCAGGTGTAATCTTTTAAACTGCACTGTAATATCCAAGTACTCTTGAGACCATTCCAGATCAAGCCCAGTAACCAGCCAGCACTTCATTCTTGGTAAAGTTCACTCATGTTGTCTGAGTGTTGACTGTGAAAACATTGCCTAAACTGAAGTTCTGTAAATGATTTTTTAAAAAAATTGTATTTCACTCCTTTGAAATGAGTTTAATTTTACTTAAAACATCATGTGTCTCAGCTGCTAAAATATTTACTCCAGGCATTCAGAGGCTCCTGTAAATGCTCTTAAAAAGAGCTTCCATTATTGAAGAGCTCTTTAATGAAGTCTGAATAATTGGAGGATTTATGAAGTCCAGGGGATATCCCTAGCTGCTGCTTTGCACACTTAAAGAATCTAAACGTGTTCCAAGGAGAACACGCCTGGGTTTATAAGAACAATCAAAGAGCAGATAACAGCATTAACTTTCAGTGGGAGTACAGCCAAAATCAGGTCAAACTCTAGCACTGCTGGAGCTTGTAGTGGATTTTTTTTGTTGTTTACTTTGCAAAAGTTTCTGATGGGTGGGGCATTCAACTTCCTTTTAGAGAAAATACTTTCCTGCATTAATCACAATTTTTAGCAGAGGAGAACTGGATGCTGTGAGCAGTGTTAGCTAGTAAATATATCCCTAAAATATCCAAAAAATGAAACTTCTAGCAAAGATTATTTGGCTTATGTTATGGGCTGTTTGTGTAGGAGAAGGTAAGATTAAAAGAGTAAGACTTGTTTTCTATAACTATTTTATGAAACATTTGCTAAAATTGCTTTTCTCGGTGATAATACAAGTTTGGTCTATAAACTGTTTTAGTTACTATTTTGTAGCTTAGAATTTGAGTGGTTTAGACATTGTTACGTTTAAAATATATAAGTATTTGAATGACACATCTGAGTATTCATTATAACTTTATTTAATGAAAAATCTAAGAAAATATCTTAAAAAATGTTTTTAAAACTGTAATCTGGCATAATCATTTCTCTTGTAATTATCACAAAATGTAATTTAGCTTTTTTTTTTTCTTAGAAGTTTCACAAACTGCTTTATGTGAAAGTATTAAGTATGTGAATATAGTTAAAAAATGTTTTTAAAACTGTAATCTGGCATAATCATTTCTCTTGTAATTATCACAAAATGTAATTTAGCTTTTTTTTTTCTTAGAAGTTTCACAAACTGCTTTATGTGAAAGTATTAAGTATGTGAATATACATAGTCAATAAAAACTTTCAAATCATGTAATGATAGGATTTATTTTAGATATAATTTTAACTCTCATAAAGAAAAATTTATCACTTACAACTGGCAGTGTCATGACCTAAAATGTATTGTAGACAGGCATCATCCGCACTATCAGAATGAAAATATTATGTCAATTTGAAAGAAAATTGAATATATAATACTTGCAACATCTAAATTGTTCACTAGGATTTTTTTCCCTGTAGTTGTGTGTAAGATATATTCTCAGAGAGCAGTCTTTTGGTGTAGTGAATATGAATGTCAGAGTTTTTTTCTGGTATCAGTAAGACAATTTCTGGATTCATAATTAAATTTAATTCTATCACTGCTTCTCAATAAATTTAAAAGATTATTATTAGAAGTTTGCTTTCCTAGTTCATGATAGGTAACCAGTTGTGTGACAGATATTTGATCAACATTTTTAAACCAAATAATTTACCTGTCATTCATAATTTTCCAAAACTTTTCACTAAGTCAACAAATTTTGATTGATTGCCTGCAGCATAGCCTGTAGGCACTGAAGAATGTAAGGAAATAACACAAAACCTCTGTCCTGAAAGTCTTACAATTTGGAAAATAAAGATTTTCAAAGTTAAATCCTTCAGTAATATTTTAAAAATTTTATTCAAATGTGCTTAATGCTTTTTTGTTAGATTGAGCCTTTATTCAGTTATATTTAATAAAATGTTATAGCATGATTTTTAGCTTGTAAACCTTGTATTCAGCCACTTTTTAAACTAGCTAGATAATCATTTTCTTACATATATAAATATTACAATTAGTATTTTAAAATAAAGTATCGTTTTATTGGCAAAGAGTTTGAAATAATGTTAACGTGACCAATCATATCAAATATCTTTTTTTTACATAAAGGTTTTGGTCTTTTATTACTTTATGGGAATGCTTTTAATGTTTCACAATTTATATACGGTTTGCTGAGGTTTTATGTAGGTATCACTTGTCATGTAAGGGAGATTTCTTCTATTTCTGGCTAATTTTTAAAAATGAAGAATCGATGCCGAGTTTAAACTGTTTAAATGGTTACAAAGTGGAAATTGAAACATTAAAATACTGTGCAGCAAAGTATATGTGATAATTTTTAAAAGTATTCTAAACTTCATTTACATAATTAATTCCAGTTTACTTGTTTTACTTCTGTTTTATTTTTCATCAATGTCTGCTTTAATGTGATATCAATTTCTGCTAGTGCAGCACTGTGTTAGTCCATTTTTGTTGCTTATTACAAAATACATGAACTGTGTCATTTATAAGAAAACAAAATGTATTGCTTACAGTTTCAGAGGCTAGGAAGTCCAGAGTCCAGGGAACACATCTGGTGAGAGTTTCGGTGGTGGCAACAGTGACCCAGGGGTCTCACATGGCAGAAGATGGCAGAGCAGCAAGAGTGATCATCCCTCATGCACCTTCCTTTGAAAGCACTCCCCTGACCACCATTATTAATCCATTCACTAGGGCAGGGTCCTACAATCTAATCACCTCTTCAAGGCCCCACTTTTCCATTACCATAATAAGATTCCCCACCCTCAACAGTTACAGCGGGGATTAATCCTCGCTGAGGCTGGGGGGAGCATCCAATCTGTGGCAAGCTCTTTATATGATGTAGTGAAAATGGCTGTAAATCTGGCTATTTCCTTACAGAAAAAGCACAACTTTGGTATTTAAAGCAATGCTTAGGTCAGCCTCATAATTTCATAAAAACACATATAATGCACTAGACTTTAGAGAAAAATTTTGTACATTTTCAGTGGATATGGAAGTTTTATTTTATTCCTTGTTTGCTAAATAAACTCTGAAGCTAAACTAGTTTGAAATGTCAATAAATTCCACCAGTCTACCATACCTAACAGAATTTTACTCATCAGAGTAGGCATCATTAATATTCATGTATAATTCAGTATTTGCCTCTGTTTTTATGTTCACATTGAACACTGAATACTAAATTGAGAAACTGAGATGACTGTTTAGAATACTCTCACTACCGGCTTTACTCAACTAGACATAACATTTTAGCATTTCCTAAATTGCTTCTGCCCTGTTAAGAGTGAACATTCTTTACAAAGTGCTCTTCATCACTAAAGAAAAATAATAGTGTTGCAGGGGACCCTAAGCATTTTTAATTGTTGAGCCTTTCCCTTTTCCACTTGAGAAACTGTTTTAGAAACTTTATGCTCCACTGGAAACTCGAGCCCCTGCTTGCCCCTTGGGCCCACCTTCTGTGAGATAACAGCAGTCTCTCACCCCTCCCCCAGGGGCCAGACGCAAATCAGGCTCCTAAAGTGACCAACAGACTGTGTCCCATAAACAGCCAATCCAAATTAGCAGGACAGCATCCCTCATTTACATAAGAGGACTTGAATGAGAACCTAGGAGAAAGAAGGGTGGGAATTTAGGCCGTATAAGGGGGTAGTCTCCTTCGTTATGGGAGACACTGGCTTGGGAGTTTTCCGCCCTCCAGTGTCCTCCTTGCTTGCAAGCAATGAAGTGCTATAACACTGAAGAAAGAGCCGCAACACTAAAATAAAGAGCTATAAAACTACAACTGACGCAGGTCTTGAATTCCTCTGTGCATTCGCCCCACAACGATAGCCAACAAGAATTTATAAAACCAGCTTTCTATTTGTTTTCCCTTTTTATTAAATTGGGGGGCCGGCCCCGTGGCGCGCTGGGGAGAGTGCGGTGCTGGGAGCCAAGCGGCTCTCCTGCCGCGGGTTCGGATCCTATATGGGAGTGGCCGGGGCGCTCACTGGCTGAGCGTGGTGTGGGTGACGCCACACCAAGGGTTGCGATCCCCTTACCGGTCACGAAAAAGACACACACACAAAAATAATAAATATTAAACTGGGGACCAAGTAGTAGATTTTCAGTGTGATGTGTCATCTTCATTCACATGCCTAGTTTTGTAAGAACAATGGTTGCTTCCTTTTTGTTTTGGTCATGGCTCAGGAAGTCACCACAGGCTATTAAGAATTAGGTCTTATTTACAAGGCGTTGTTTAAAATAACAGTTCCTCGAGCATACCAAATAGTTTCAGCCTTTTTTGGAATATGTTATGACCAAGATTTTCAAGTAGATATTTTATTTATTTATTTACTTGGATTATTTTTTATTTTACACTTGAAACATAATTGATTATACATATTTACGGGTTGTAGAGGTGACTGTCAGCATTTGTGTACAATATGTTAAGACCAAATCAATATTAGTAGAATGTTCCTCATTACAAATGTTTCATCCGGTTTGAATTGATTTTGGTGTATGGTGAGAGGTATGGGTCTAGTATTATTCTTCTACATATAGATGTCCAATTTTCCCTGCACCATTTATTGAAGAGGCTGTCTTTTCTCCAGTGTATGTTCTTGGCACCATTGTTGAAGACCAGTTGGTTCTCCATTCTGTTCCATTGATCCACATGTCTGTTTTTATGCCAGCACCATGCTGTTTTGGCTGTTAGAGCTTTGTAGTATAAATCGGAGTCAGGTAATGTTATGCCTCCAGCTTTATTTTTTAAGCTCTGGATTGCTTTGGCTAATTGGGGTCTTTTGTTGCTCCATATGAATATTAGGATTTTTTTTTCTATTTCTGTGAAGATGTCATTTGTATTGGGGATTGCAAAGAATATTTAGATTCTCTTGGCACCATTGTTGAAGACCAGTTGGCTGTAAGTACCTGGTTGAAGTCTGGGTTCTCCATTCTGTTCCATTGATCCACATGTCTGTTTTTATGCCAGCACCATGCTGTTTTGGCTGTTAGAGCTTTGTAGTATAAATCGGAGTCAGGTAATGTTATGCCTCCAGCTTTATTTTTTAAGCTCAGGATTGCTTTGGCTAATTGGGGTCTTTTGTTGTTCCATATGAATATTAGGATTTTTTTTTTCTATTTCTGTGAAGATGTCATTTGTATTGGGGATTGCAAAGAATATTTAGATTACTTGGGGTAGTATGAATATTTTCACAATGTTAATTCTTCTAATCCAAGGGCATGGATGTCTTTTCATCTATTTGTGTCCCCTTTAGTTTCTTTCAACAGCGGTATGTAGTTCTCATTGGAGAGATCTTTCACTTTGGTTAGATTGATTCCCAGAGTTTTTTGTTTGTTTGTTTTTTGTTTTTTTTTTTTTGTCTTTTTCCGTGTCCGGCAACGGATCGCAACCCTCAGTGTCGCCCCCGTACCGGACCGGGACCGGCAACGGGATCGCAACCCTTGGTGTTGCTCCCGCGCCTCGCTCAGCCAGTGAGCGGGAACCGGTCTGTATGTGGGATCCGAACCCTCGGCGGGAGCGCCTCCGCACTTCCCAAGCGGTGCACCAGCGCAGTGCGCCACCGGGCGGTTTGTTTGTTTTTTGGATGTGTGTGTGTGTGTGTGTGTGTGTGTGTGTGTGTGTGTGTGTGTGTGTGTGACTCTTATAAATGAGCTAGCTTTCTTTACCTATTTTTCTGCTAGTTCATTATTG